TATATATATATATATACTTTTTTTTTTTTCCTTTCTTATGTACATATTGTGTGAATGAATACTATAGACCTTGTACCAATGCCCTTCAGTGTGGCAGACTGTATTTTTTGCCATGATGGGGCCTAACCTACGGCTAAGATGTTTTAGCTTTGTGAGGATTATTCTCTAAATTACTACATTGTGTCGTTTGCTCTTATAGGAGGATTTCGATTTTCAGCAATCTTTTCATATTTTCAAAGCTCTGTCCGCTATTGTAGAGTGTCTTTTATTTAGTTCACCTATCCCTTCAAGTATCTATGGCTACATATATCTTATTTATGGCTTCCACAAGAGTAAATTTTTAATAATTAAATATTACTAGAAGTATATCTATTTATAATATAAGAAGAATTCAGATTCCGTTTATAGATGCATGTTTTAGATATTATTTTATTTATAATTATGACCCATAAGATACTTAAATGTAAAAAAATGATGGACGATTTCAATTTGTTTAAATATGATTGATTTACATGAAAAAAAACACGTAAAATAATGAGAATTTGTAGTTTTGGTTTATTATTTTCAATAATAAACCATTGTGAGCGAAGAAACAATTAAAAAAACTTACCTCCTCTCAAAATTTGAGATATTACCTATCAGGATACCTAAAATTCGAAAAACAAATAAACATTTGTGTAATAATTCATGTCTGTGTAATGAATTAACTTTGATTATATATATATTTTTTAAAGGCTGGCAACCAAACAGCTACAGTCATCTCTCTAGCATGTATGAAAGACGAAGATTTAACCGTCGACTCAACATTAGCAGCAATAAGAGATATTAAAGGTCTAGAAATTCTGATTAATCTGTTAGAAACTAAAGTTCACAAATGCGTGGTTAGTATTTAAATTTTAGTAATATTAGATTATTTTTAAAGGCTTTATTAATTGTTGTGATTGTAGCTACTTTTAATGATATAAGTATTAAGAAATGTTAGATGTTTTTCTTCTTTTTAATGAAAGGATTGAGAGTGAAGAATCTGAAGCGATGAAACATCATAAACTTTTTACATACGATCCTACTTTAAGAACAAATTTATTTCTGTTGATGTAGGGCTTCTATTTATTTAATAATTTAAATGTATTATAAGGTCTAAAGTCTATTATTACTATATGTTTTTCAACATGTAAACACTACTTAAAATATTTACAGCAGCATGCACTTATTCATACGTTTCGGCGTAGCTGAGGCCTCTGTTGGGGAACAATCGAATGTCTTCTCATTACTGGTTAATAGAGTGGCACAGGAAACCCATGGGTATGAAGAAGAGTGAAATATCATTGGTTTGACAGAAAATGTACTACGGCCACTAAAGCGAAAAACAAAGCTTATAAAAACATGGTCTAAGGGCACCATACAAGGAGAGTATCTGAAGAGTATTCAGACAGGAGAAGATGCTTCACCGAAGAAAAAAGAGTGGATGGGAGCGGAAGCAGCTGTAGAAGATGAAGGAATACAATAATCAGAGGGAGTCGAGACTCTTTTATCAGAGGATCAACCAGAGTAGGACCAGCTTCAAACCACGTCTCAGGACATGTAGAAGGAGGATGGATCCATGACCACGGAAAAAAATGAATACTGGCGAGGAGGTAACGTCACATCAACATTCTGCTGAATGACAATGCGGAAGACCTAGAAGAGAGGGAAATACCTGGGAGTGATGATGATACAGAAATTCTCGATCCATCCTAAAAAAGTCTTTGTAAACAGTAAAACTCGATTACTTTCATAATTTGAGTACTTTTATTAGGAAAACAAATCGAGTACTTTCTATACTCGGCCTGACATCGGCGAGTACTGAGAGTACTCACGCAGCGTTGATCATGATTTAGTTAAGTTCTATATCGAATTATAGAAAGTACTTAGCCAAATTCCTCTGAGTACTTTTTATTTTTCATTATTATGAAGAGTATAAATGTTTTCTTTTATTTCTTTCAACAATGACTGAAAAGATTAATGAACAGTTGCGTGAGATTTGTAATTGGTGCCCCGAGATACTACCATGTCTCTCACCACTATACCGAGTTAGAGTGGCTCTTCCCCTCCATTCGAAGACAATATTTCCTAGGTACATTCCTCTATCATATCATCAACAATCATCGTCCTTCTAACGCCTACAACCTTCTCCAATTCAAATCCTCAGTCCACTCCCTTTCCACAAGATCTCGACCTTCCGACCTTTACATTCCTTCTCACAGATCTGCCTCGTTCCAAAACTCCTTCATAGCTCGCTCTGTTAAATTTTGGAATTCCCTTCCTATCAAAATTCGGCATTCTTCATCCCTGTCTACATTCAAAACCTTCCTATTCCAATTCCTGTCCCAAAAACAGTCAGATACCCGCTAACCGTGAATGAAAAACTACATATTAGCTCATAACTGAAATACTTATTAGCAGATTCGACTTTTTTTTTTTCTAAAAGTATATATTTATATTTTACAATTGTACAGTTTTAAGTGTCTTGGCAAGGTTCAAGAGTTTTGTATATAGATTTTTTTTTTTTTAATTTTATTTTGTATATAGTATGTAAAACTAATGTTTCCTTTACTGATTTAGCTTTACTTTTACTTTTTATGTTTGTTTTTATTTGGCCAGATACAAAATTTTAATTTTGTAATTTTTTTGTTATTCTGAAGGGACTTCGTCCCAGAATAAAATTATTTTCGATTCTATTCTATTCTAATAGCGACCATATTCGACCTGACCAACCCTAACCCCCCATTAATCGATATCCGATTAACTATCATGTTTTGAGGGGCAATTTTTATGAAAATATACTGTCGGATTTGAGATAGTGGCCCCGGACCCCGACTTTTTGTAACTTTTCGGATTTAATCGATATCAGAGTCAACTATTAGGTTTTAGGGGGCGCTTTTTATGAAAATAATGTCGAATTTGAGATAGTGCCCCCGGGCACCGACTTTTTGTAACTTTTAAGATTAAAAGATATCAGGGTCCACTATGAGATATTGGGGGGAGCTTTTTATGAAAATAATGTCGGATAAGTTACAAAAAAATGGTGCTCAGGGGCACTATATCAAATCCGTCATTTTTTTTATTATAAGCCCCCCTCCCAAAACCCAATAGTCGACCATGATATCGACAAAATCCGAATTGTTAACAAAAGTGGATGTCCGTGGGTCCTATCTCAAATCAAACATTATATTCATAAAAAGCGCCCCCCAAAACCTAATAATAGATCCTGATATCGATTGAATCCGAAATGTTACAAAAGTTGATGCCCGGGGGCACTATCTCAAATCCGACATCATTTTCATAAAAAGTGCCCCCAAAACCTAATAATCGACCCTGATACCGATATAGTCCGAAAAGTTACAAAAAGCCTTTGCCCGGAGGGTCCTATCTTAAATCCGACATTATTTTCATAAAAAGCGCCCTCCAAAATCTAATAGGTGACCCTGATGTCGATATAATCATAAAAGTTACAAAAATTAGGTGCTCGAGGGCACTATCTTAAATCCGACACTGTTTTCATAAAAGTCAAGTGGTGTAGAAAAAAAACTAGAATAATAATGAGCCCCAAAGTTGAATAAATCCAAAATATTCTAATAATTCTTTATTTTATCGATTACATTAATATCGATACTATTTTAAAGAACTATACCCCCATAATATAGAAATGGACTTAAATATGGAAGAAATATTAAATATTCTACTTCTGTAATTTTTATAATGAAGTACTCGATTGCTTTGAAAAGTACTCGGAGTAAAATATTTCTGAGTAAATGTGAAAATGGAAAGTACTCACGAGGACAACTGATTACTTTTTGTACTCGTCAATCATCGGGTCCGAGTAGTGATTAAAGTAATCAGTACTCGAACCGCGCGAGTATTTGAGTAAAATACTCTGTGATTTGTACTTTTTACTCAGAGTACTTTTTACCCATCTCTAATGTAAATGGTGTCCCGTATGTAAATAATTATTTAAAATATTTTCCATATAATGTGGTTATGAATTTTTTCTCCCAGATTTCTGTCATAGGAATTGATGTTTATTTATAAGAAACAAACTTAATGTTTCTAGCCCTAATATTTACCTTTTCATGAAAATAATTGAAGCAATCTGTAGGTTACTTTATTTTAAACGTAAATTTGAGTAAGAAACATTCAATTTGTCACTGAGAAATACATATTAATTCCTATGACGGAGATCTGGGAGAAAAACGCAATTTCATAATCACTTTATGTGAAGATTATTTTTAAAAACATTATTTTTATATTTATATATAAAATGTGTTTTTAGGCAATTATGTTTATATATCACAAAAAAAAACACAAAAAAAAAACTAGAAATAAAAGCTTAATTCCAGTTAATTGTAGTCATATTCTCAGAAAATCAGGGACTCTAAGTTGACTGGATAGGAAATGAAATTATTTCTTTACATAACTTGAGGTGAATCTCAAATTTTGTTCTAATAAACCTCAACTTAAATAATACGAACTTATTAAACGAGGAAGTATATGTAAAAGTGGGGTAAATGTTGAACAGTTATGGTGATAGAAGAAAATCACAAATAATTTATGAACCTTTTTTAAACGTAACTTGGCTGTGTTTGTCCGCCCAATAGCCTCATTAAATATTTTTAACAATGCAAAATCCATTTTCATTTAAAGTAAATTTTGTGTAATTTACTAGAGAGCAATGTTTAGTTATCTAAATCAAATATTTTTTATGTTATCGCTTCCTATTCATAAAAAATTTATTTATTAATTAAATAAACACAAATCTTAAATTTCCTACTTTGCTTCTAGAAATTGGACAATTGTTCATATGAACTTTTTTGTAGATGTCTACTATCAACCTTTTAAATATTTCCCTCGACTTACAGGACACCCTAAAGATATATGTATTTTTTTTATTGACAAGTGTTATTAAATTTATACATTTATTAACATATGAGGACTCCAACTAAGGACCAAAAGAATTGGGGTTCATGGATCGAGGTAACTTCACGCTGAAAAGCACAAAGGATGTAGAGAAAGAAAAAGAAGAAGATTGCGACGAGAAAGCCATTAATATTTAATTGCTACTATTAAAAATAAAGTAGTAAAATTAAATCATTAAATGGCGAAATATCGATATTTTGTATTGGTATTTTAATAAATTCATACTTAAGAATTAAAATTTTAAAATAATGAAGCTCGGTGTACAGTTATTTCGATATCTTTTCCGATATTTTGAATTAATATTTCGATATATTAAAAAAACATCCGGACAATATATGTATATCGATATTTACATCCCTAGGCAGCTGTATAATAAGAAACCTCACTTTATCAGACGTTGAGAAGAATAGACCGTGATGATCAAGATGTCTATTCAAACCCAAACAGCATAAAAAAAACAACATCATTATCCGTCCTTTTGATTTTGAGAAACGTCGTTGCGATTGAATTAAGTGTATGAAAATATAAGATCGAATGGACAATGTAAACATAAAACATAAATAGTCTTGAGCGGACGAGAGACGAGGAAGGGGTCTCTAATAATATCGGTGTTGAACCTTCGAATACAACAATATTATTACCTTTTGTTTTACTTATGTACGAAGTAAAGTTAGTATTAGTATTTCAATGATACAATTCAAGATATTCACATTTAATTTTTTTTTTATAGCTAGGTTCTTTGCAAATATTGTGCGAATTATCGAGAAATCATGGAGTACAGAAAGAAATTACCAACCTGGGCGCCGTTCAACTTCTCGTTCGACTTCTAAAAGGCCCAGAACCACAATTTCAGTGTCTAGCCGCTAATACTATAGCTAATTTAGCGAAAGTATCAAAGGCTAGAAAAATAGTGAGAATGTCTGGAGGAATTCCAATAATGGTAACTATAATATTTTTTATATTTACACATTTTATACGATTTATTATCAAATGGGATTATCTACTCCGAAAATAATTATTTCGAATACGCCAATGATTTGTTGTTAGATCATGAGAAGTCCAATTTACTGGTCTTTACTAAATAAGAGCATATGTTATTAATGTTGATTTATACACTGACAGGCAAAAAATTCCACCCACTTGATTTTTTCATGTTTTCATCTAAAAATATTTCTGCTTTGGATTGGTCTATTGTTTTTAATCAATAAATAGGTAATCTTTTTATTTGTTTTCAATTAGGAATGTTAATATAGAGGACAATAACCCTTAATCCTTAATTCAATGAAATTATTCTAGATTCCAATGTTTACTTTCTATGGAATCAAAATGTTTATTCAGTATCATTAGTTCAGTGCCGTTTCTTGCAGCACATTTCTTAGTCTCCGGCTTTTAATTTTTTCAATATTAAGTTTAAAAATGCCTCTTAGTGCTGAGGATGTTGCGCGTGGTGTGGCACTTATTGATGATGGACGTTCCATTAGATATGCAGCTAATGCCATCGGAGTTCCATATGAAACTTTACGAGACGCCGTCAGGCGTTTTCGGGAAACTGGTTCTTACAATAGAAGGCCTGGTTCTGGACGGCCTAGGGTAACAGAACCACGGGATGACCGGTTTTTGACTTTGAGAATTTTACGAAACCGGCACCTTACCGTTGTTCAAGCGATTCATCAGCTCGAAGAAGTTCGAGGTGTGCAAATTTCTGAACGTACCGCTCGGAGAAGATTAAATGAGTATGGATTAATGGCTTTTCGTCCAATAAGAGGACCAGAGTTGACCAGAACTCACAGAGTAATACGGCTGGCTTTTGCTCGAGAACACAGCCATTGGACTATGGACAAATGGAGTGCTGTACTTTTGTACAGATGAGTCAAGATTCGCTCTTCGATCTTCAGACGGGCGTGAAAGGGTGTGGAGAAGAAGAAACTAAAGATATGCAGCCTGTAATTTTTCCCAGAGACCAACCTTTCCAACGTGGCTCCTTAATGGTGTGGGCTGCTATTTCAATGGAGAGCCGCACAGAATTGGTTGTTATTCGTGGAGGGTCTTTGACGACCATTCGCTATGTAGATAAGATTTTGGAACCTCATGTGTTGCCTATCCTCAACGAAATCGGTGATCATTCCATTCTAATGCACGATAATACACGCCCACATATCGCCCGCATAGTGCAGACGTTCTTTCAACAGAACAATATTGAGGTTTTAACCTGGCCAGCACGTTCTCCAGATTTGAACCTCATTGAGCATTTATGGGATAAGCTCGGAAGACGAATAAGAGCGCGTACAACACTTCCTGATACACTGCAGGACCTTGAAAGGGCTCTTCGGGAGGAATGGGCTATCCTCCAGCAAAGCGACATTTCCCGACTGGTGGAAAGTATGCCGAGGCGTCTTCAAGAAGTAGTGAAGGCAAGAGGAGGAAACACGCGCTACTAAATGATGATGTAATTAATTTCTTTTAGAATGATAATGGTTCGTTTTTCAATTTTTTTTTCTCTAATCTTTCTTACCCAATCACATTTTGATTATTAAAGGTAAAAAAGATTATAAAATTCCATAAATACTAAGTAGTATCTACAAATACCATGTATTATATACAAATACAACTTTACAGAAATATTTTTAGATGAAAACATGGAAAAATCAAGTGGGTGAAATTTTTTGCCTGTCAGTGTATTTTGGTTTGGAGGAATTTGTACACATTTCACATTGTTCCAAATTTTACATCCCCTTCACATTAAAAATTTACTCTTATTGTTATGTATATTCACTTAAACAAGAAAGGAAAAAAAATAGAAGAAAAACAAGAAAAAACATTGGATTGGTTCAATAATGGTATTGCACAGTTATCTCTGACCAGTTTTTATTGCTCCAACTAATAATATTCCTGACCATATTACAAGAAACAATCGCATTCTTTCAAATGACTTTTTTGATTTACGTTTTCAGGTTAGATAGTAACCTTAAAAAAAACAACTAAAAGTTCACCGTTTTGGTTCTAAATTTCCGATTAGTTGTAAACACAGTTGAAAGTAATTATTTTTTAAAACATCTGTGAAAAAAACACTTTCATCAATACAATAATTTAATAAGTTTGTTTTACGAATATTTAAAAATTAACGTAAAAAAGTATTTTTGTCTATAGGTTGACCTGCTTGACGTTCCTAAAAGGTTGCTCGTCACTCCTAGAATTAGTCTAACCGAACATGAATTAAAAGTAAGTATAAATATTCAACGTAACAGCGTTTTTAAATATTGAGTACTATTATTAACAGTTCATTAATTATATTATTTTATTCATTTATCCCTTTGAAGAGGTATACTACAGGAACAGTATGCATGGATGAGTTAAACGAAAAATAAATAATTTTTAAAACGAACGATTATAACTTTTTTTTTTTACTTATTTATTTGGAATTATAACAATCTGTTACGTAGACAATAGATTGTAGTGATATATGAACACATTCACACCATATATACAGAAAATATAAAATTAACAAATGTAAAATAATAATTAAAAACCATGTACAATAAAAAAATAAAATAATCTAAAGATAAGTAAACAAAAAAAACACAGTTATACCTATATACAATATATACAATTCGGCAGGGAAACCCAAGCCAGGCTTCTCCTATAGAAGAAAAGCAGGACTCCAAGAGCAGGGATCTCTCAACCGCGTCACTGGTACTAAAGCCAATGGGGTTTGAGCGAGAGCGCTTTAGCCTCTTACACTCATGTCTTGAGTAGATATATTAAGATATATACTACAAAAGATCTCTGGGTCACTGCCGCTTCAACCTTCGAGGAGGATTGTAGGGATGAATAGACCTGGGTAGGGATTGTGCTAGGGGATTTGGATGATTTATAAGGTTCTGATGGAATTTGGAAATTTTTTTAGGGATAAGGTCGAGGACAAACGGAATATTAAGGTCATGGTGTAGGGTTTTGTTGGTACATAGAACGGAGGATCGATTATTGTTCGGAGGACTTTGGACTGAAATTATTGGATGCGTCTGATGTTCGAAAATTTTGCTGTCCCCCAAAGTCCGTAGGTCCAAACAGGTTTCAGGATTGCCTTGTAGATCAGTAATTTGTTGTCAATTGAAAGTTGAGATTTTCGGGTCAGTAGTCTATATATTGGCCATATTTTAAGTCTAGTATGTGGATTACACGTTAGTCTTCGGTCTAAGATAAAGCCAAGATACCGGACTGTGTCTGAAAAAGGAAGCTGGATGGAATTAAAGTGGACTGATGGACAGGATCTGCGCCGGAGTGTGAAGGTAATGTGTTTGCATTTGGATTCGTTTACTTTGATGCGCCATTTATTACTCTAGTGCTCAATCAGGGAGAGGCGCCTTTGCTGATTTAAAGATGCTATTTCGGGATCTGAGTTGAATGATAGGATGGAGGTGTCAGGAAGGTATTGAGATGGACAGGGATATCAGTGGTTAAAAGGATATAAAGGACGGGGCCCAAGACGCTACCATGAGGAACACCGGCTTCAACTGGATAGGAGTTGGAAAATTCTGTACCACAGCGAACCCGAAAGGTGGGATCAGAGAGGTAGGAGCGGAGAATCATTTACAAGGACTGGGGTAAATGGGTGTTCAGCTTGGAAAGAAGTGTGTGTCATACCCGATCAAAAGCTTGAGCTATGTCCAGAAATGCACCCGAGCAACTTGATTATAAATTAAATAATTTTTACTTAATATCCATTCAAACAGTGTTTTAAGTAATATTAAGTAATTTAACGAAATTTTATGTTCTGTCACTTCTAATAAGTGCATAGGCATAGGGTTCTTCAAATAACTATTATAAGGTTTATCTGTACATGATTCCTCAGCTTTTCTGATATAAAACATTAGAAATATATAATGCAGGCTGCTCTAACTTCTTCAATTTTAGCTTATAGTGGAGAGTTGTCCCATGCAAGTTCAACAGTGGTTCGGTGGCCCTTTCGCATGTACTTCAGGCTTTTAATTAAAGCTCGATGTTTAAAAATAATTTAATTAAAAACTACTTATATTTAATATATTAAAAATGATTTATAACATTGAAATTAACATTTATTTTATTAATAACCATTTCAGATTGTTTATGTAATTAGTGGATGTGCAAAAGCACTCTGGGCATTGTCTCAGTCGAACAAAAATAAAGAACAAATGAGGCATGCTGGGTGTGTGGGAATATTAGGCAAGTTTCTCTCATCAGTTCATGAAGATATAGTAGCTTACACGTTAGGCACGATTGATGAATGTTCTTCTCAGGTAATAATCAGTATAATATTTGTATGTAATTCCATAATATCTCTTGCACAAGTCTGTCATGACAAGATTTGGGAAATTTTTATAATTAGTAAATTAACTTCATTTTTTCATTATTTACTAAACAATGTTTTCAAGGACAATCATTGTAACATTTCCGAATTCAAACTGTTCCAAAACGATTCGGACTTTTACGTCCATTTTTAAGTTTGAATATAAAATAAATAAAATAATATCGTAAAAATTATTATTCAATTGCTAAAATAAGAATGCAGTGTAACAGCTGATGCGAAGGTTGTATTCTCAACACGTCTCTCAGTTTTGGCCTATTTTTTCAGCGGAATCTCTCTGATTATTCACTGAATACAGTTCAAGTGTACATCAGAGCAGTTGATATTTACTGTTTGATATCTATTTTTTTTTTTCTTTTTTATGATCACTTTTTTTGTTAAAAGGTATGGTAAATGGAAGTCAGGCATCTCCAGAACTTTTAAAATGTAATAAAAAGTTAAAAAAATGAATTTTAGCGTATAATCGTATATAAAGGCGATACCCGTCCAGTGTTGGGCCTTATTCGAATAAATTATTTAAAATCTTATCTAGATAACGAATAATAGATAAATTTTTATTCGTTATTCTTATTCGAAGACCTTTGGACAGATAATTATTTGTTATTTGTTATTTACAAATAATATGCATTATCTATTATCTGTTATTCGTTATTTAACATAACGTCTGTTTATATGTTTTAGAGATGGTGTTTATATGTTTTTGAAAATGTTCTCCAGCATTTAGATATAAGCGCCCCCGGGCATCGACTTTTTGTAACTTTTCAGATTTAATTGGTATTAGGGTCGACTGTTGTGTTTAGAGGGGTGTTTTTTATGAATATACTTTCGGATTTGAGATTGTGCCCCGGGCATCGACCTTTTGTAACTTTTCGGATTTAATCGATATGAGGGTCGACTATTATGTTTTTTTGGGGGTGGGGATGGGCGTTTTTTATGAAAATACTATCGGATTTGAGATTGCGCCCCCGAGCATCGCCTTTTTGTAACTTTTCGGATTTAATTGGATTTAATCGATATTAGGGTCGACTATTATGGGGATTCTTTTTATGAAAATACTGTCGGATTTGAGATAGCGCCACCGGGCGTTCACTTTTTGTAACTTTTCAGATTAAATCGATATTAGGGACAATTATTAGGTTTTGGAGAGCACTTGAGCGCCATATCATATCCAAAAGTATTTTCATAAAAAGCGCCCCTCAAAACATAGTAGTCGACCCTCATATCGATTTAATCTGAAACGTTACAAAATGTCGATGCCCGGTGGCACTATGTCAAATTAGACACTATTTTCATAAAAAGAGCTCTCCCAAAACCCTGGTATGGAAGAAATCCGAAAAACTCTAAAAAGTCTCAACGCAGTAACGTGGTCTAGAAATGGTGAAAAATTTAAACAAGTGCGGCTCCAAAAAAATATAAATCAATCCTTTTACCGAAGTTATAAAAAAAAACCTCAAAAAAGTCGCAATGGAGTGGCTTAATATTAAAATGGAGATCATTCTTAAAAACTATGGTTCTGAAAATATATAAATTAGCCCTTATATAATAGAAAAATAAAATTAGCATCAAATTATTCGAAAATTATTTGAAAAACTCGAATAACAAATAAAAAGATAATAGAAGACACACAGAATTATTCGTTATTTGTAGTTGAAAGTTCGAATAAATTATTTGTTATCTATTATCTTTTAGTTAAGATAAATTTTGCCCAACACTGTACCCGTCTCATGAGCCAAAAGGTAATTAGGTGCAAACCTTGGGAGGAGTAACAATTTGAAAAAAAAATATTGATTGAATTTTTTCTATTCATCAAATTACTCAAAATCCTAAACCTTTGTAACCATGGTAACCACTGTCGGTGAGACTGCCTTGTACTTTTAATTTACTTGTATAGGGGACATTTTAGTAAGCCATAAAATTATGCCAAACAGAGTGATGTACTGTCCCTTCCATGTGGATGTACTGTCGCTTTAGTCTTTAAATACATATTTTTCAAGATATTCAAAAATTTATGTGACAACCCTAAATTAGTCAACTTAAAAAACAACACCTCCCTATCTATGCAATCAAAGGCTGCCTTTAAGCCGACAAAGAATGCATAGACTTTACTATCTTTTTTTGCTAGAGTCAGAACTTTCGCTTGTTAAAAATTAGTATGTTTTTATTCTTACCTTAATCCTTTTTGTCCCCGCGACAGAATATTATATGTCTAAATAAATAAATAAAATAAATTAAAAATCAATTAAATTTATTTTTCTTAATACTATTATTTTTATAATTGTAATGGTATTTAGAAAAACTATCAGTATGATATTCAACATGAAGGCATGATAAAAGACATGGTTCACTTTTTGTCTGCCGAAAATGCTCAGCTGAAGAAACATTGCGCATCAGCAATATTCAAGGTATTTAATTATTTTTTTTACAACTAAAACTAAATCATATAATTCGTAAGTTAACCTTTGGCCATATATTATTTATGTAATCTGTCAATATTTTTATTTCTAAAAACTGAGACTTTATCTTATAGAGAAGTGCTACTTTTGGGTAATTTCTCTTCAAATCGTACATGTTATGTTACCAGTTCAAATTTACTTGTATTTTCAGCTGATACAGTTGTAAATTTCAACAAATATATTTTCTTTTTATTTATTGAAATTTACAACTGTATTAAATGATAAATACAACAATTAAATATGAAATTAGTAACATGGCATGTACAACATGAAGAGAAACTACCCATTGGTAGCACTCCAATTATATTTCTATAATAGAAGGTCCCGAGCCCATCGTCTTTTCAGACGCTTCGGAGGGTTATCAGGAATAGAAGAGGAAGCAAGGTTAGAAACAAGAGGGATCGGATGGTTCAGAAGTTTGTTATGGAAGCAAATATATCTGGATTGAGCTAAATCGGAATCATATGGAACATTAAGGTCGTTATGAATGATTTTATTTGTGACAAAGTAGGGAGAATTGAGGATTTTACGAAGGATTTTGGATTGTAAGGGTTGGATACTAGAGGAATTTGGTGGTTTAGTAGAGCCCCAAAGCTCGATCCCGTTAGTCCAAATAGGCCTTATTGTGATTTATATAATTTTTTTTTGCAAATAGTTGGATGTTTAGAGCGTTTGCCTTGTAAGTGCTGCAGTAGTCGAAAACGTTGGGCGGTTTCTAGTCGTTTCAGTCTGGTATGAGGATTCCAAGTGAGTCGTTTGTCCAGGTGGTCGGATTTGTTCCTACCAATCGGATTTGTTCTGTCCTAGGTATCGGATTTGTTCTACAGGGATAAGTGAGGTATAAGTTAAAGTTATATAAACAATATTGTTAAAGGACGATGTAGGGCAGAAAATCATAGGTTTACGACGAAGAGTCAAGGTAATTTGGTGGAATTTATCTTAATCCTCCAGTTTAGACACCATTCTTCAAGTCTTGTGATGTGCGGTTGAAGAGTTTGTGATGCAATTGAGGGATCATTATTAACTTAAAGGAAACACGTGACATCGGCATAGGTGGTGATAACGGTGTTGGGATGGGTTGGAATGTCAGCTATATAAACTGTGTAAAAGATCGGACTTATGATACTACCTTGAGGAACACCAGAAAATTGAGAAAAAAGAGATGAATTAGCTTTGTTATGAATTACTTTGAAGAATCTGTCAGTAAGGTAGGAACCGATAGTGAGGAAGTATGTAGGTGATAGAAATTTACGGAATTAGTACATCAGTCCCGGATGCCAGACTCTATCAAACGCCTGTTCAACGTCGAGAAAGACTTCCGTGGAGCATATTACGCGCTCCAATGCAGAGGAGACTACGTCTATCAGATGATGGAATTGCTGAATAGTGGAGTGGGATGTGCGGAATACATATTCTTCTGTGATCTGGTGATCTGGGATTATGTATGTAGAGTCTAGGATGGGATACAGAAGTTTTAAGATGAATTTTTCCAAGATTTTGTCCATAATGGGTAAAAACGAGATAGGAGGGTAAGAGGATGAGTATTCTGGCGGCTTTATGAGTTTAGGTATCATTTTGACTATGGATGGTTTCCAATGGTCAGGAAAATATGTGGTTTGGAGTACAGCGTTGTATATATATATATATATATATATATATATATAGGCGAGGAATAGTATGGCTTATGAGGTCAGGGTAGGTAATCTATGAATGACATTGTATATTTCTGAAGAATGAAATGCTTTAGTGTGAGGGAATCAATTGGAGTGGGATATAATATTATTCTGCTTCAATAAACTCAAGGTGGATTGGATTAATCATATCCGGGTGAGGATTAAACATTTTGAAAAGGTGTTGAGCAAATATTTGAGATTGTTCTTCGTCAGATCTTAACCAGGTTTGGGTTTTAGTATTAAGTGGGTGGTTAAAATCTTTGAATTTAAGGAGCTTTTTAGTGGTCAACGATAGTAATTTATTAGTAGCAGTAAGCTTTTCTGTCAAGTTAAGTAAATTTTGAATTTTGTTTTTTCTAATTTCAGCTTTTAGTTTATTGATTAATTTATTGTAATATGTCTTATCTGATGGGTATCTAGTCTTGTGACACTTCGATCTTGCTCTGAGTTTTTCCTTTAATAAGATAAGAATGTGCTGTGGCAAATTAGTCAGTTGAGAGGTGTTACATTTATTGATAGATGTATTTCCTTTTATTTTGTCGTCTATAGATGTAGTAAATACTTCTATGGCTGTGTCAATGTTATGTTTCATCTTAAGTGGAATATTTAGGTCCATTTTGTTTTCAAGATCTTTATGAAATTTGTCCCAGTTTACTCGTCCTTTAATCAGTTTAGGAGGGGACGAGGGCTTAGGAGCGAAGGTTGTGTGTAATGAAAGTAGAACTGGAGAATGATCTTAGGAGTGGTCATCCAGGGATTTGATTGTGACATAGGAAGAGAAAATCTGGGAAGTGACAAATATATCTAAGTTATCAGGGCATTGTTTGAAGGAAGTTGGCCGATAGGTAGGATTCATAGGAGAGAAGACGAAGTAATTATTTTAAGTTAAGACAGAAGATACAATATATGTTACCACGGGAATTGGTTGCTCTACAACTCCATCGTTGGTATTTAGCATAGTAGTCTCCACCAATAAAGTGCGATTCGAGAGATTGAAATAAGGATTCAATTAAGTTGCAGGTAAGGGTATGACCAGCAGGACAGTAAACAGCTGTGAGTGTTAAATGGAAATGATTACTGATGCCGCTTGAATAGCTTCAGTTGGAGTAGAAGGAATGAGAGAATGGGATAAGGATGCAAGAACCGGCGTGGGAAGTGTTGTTGGGGTGGTCTGATCTATATGAACATTGATTGAAATGAGCTTCTGTCAGAAGAGCAATATCAATGTGATGGTCATGAAGAAAATGTGAAGTTCGTCTTGGTGGTTGTGTAGTCCGTTATCATTCAGTTAACATAAAAGAACAGCTAGGGGCTTTGTGTTCATCGTGAGAGATTAAAGGGAATTTCGGTAAGGATTCTTGTGAGGTGGGTGATGAATGGAGATCTTTCAGGAAGGACACAAGGGTGGAGTTTATTAAGTCAATCGAGTTTTATTGGTCAGGTTGGTTTTGATCAGGGGTTCGTGAGGGATAGATCTTATGAAAAGGAGTGTCTGATGAAGGATGTACCTGTCGTGATGTACGAAGGGCTGAATCATAATTAGATGGAACTAGGGAAGGAGAGTATATGTGAGCAAAACGATGGAAATGAACTGGAGTTGGATATTCAGGCGGTAATTTTACACGTAGAGGTATCTGATAGGGAAGCCTTTGCTGACGTGGAGATTTTGATTAAATGTGGGAGATGTGAATCTTGGATAGGGAGGCTTGGGTCAATAAATACATTTAAAAACATGTTTTAGTGACTTGGTAAATATAATTACGTAATCATAAATACAAAATAGTTTATAAGTAATGATTACAAGCTGTTTTATCAATCATTTTGAGTTGTTTCGATTACTACTCTTTTTTGATAACTTGTTTTTGACACAATATGGCTACTTACACATCAATGAACTACAATTCAGAATTGAGCAGATAAACACATGAGTGTATTTATATCTAATCCCGGATTTGCAATATTGCAGCCTCCGTTTGTTTTTGGCTTACTATCTGGCCATTTTCTGGTCGATTTTCTTTGAGGTTTCGAAGATTGATCTTTAATAATAAACCACCTCAAACCCACTCCTATTACAGACTGTATTAACTTTCGGCATAAAGTCACTGGTGTAAAATTGTTTTAACCAAATAAATATTGCATTGTACCATTCCTTTTCGACTTATGATATTCATTAGGTATGAATTAAGTCGGTATGAAAATAATGCATAAACTTATAAAAAGTATTGAGTAAAACCTCTTCAAGCATATAATCATTCTTTTTCAAAAAATCTATCGCTTTTTCAAGCGTATTTCAAGCATTATGAATACAAGAGGATGTTTTTTTTTACTTTGTTTAATTTTTCTCTCTAATAATTATTATTTGACGTGCTTGATATGAATTATGTACTTTTGATATACAGAATATAATATTAGATAATACTACCATTAAAGCATTGTCTTTTACCACTGTTTTAAGGAGATGTTTGCTTCATAGCTTTTCTTTTCTCTGAGAGCTTATGTTTACTTTTACATTACTGAAGGTTCCTACTAAATTATTATCTATTAATAATTTTAAAGTGTGCAGAGGATCGGACAACGAGACGACTTGTTAGGGAGCAAGGAGGACTCGAATCTCTGGTAGCATTGGTTAAACAGGATTCATGCAGATCCGACAAAGCACTCGTATCTGCGGCCACAGGAGCCATTTGGAAATGTGCTATGTCCTCTGAAAACGTACAACGCTTAGATGAACTTGATGCTATCGCAGTCTTAGTAGATCTACTTCAGTTCGAAGATGAAGAAGTAAGATTTCATTGTTATCCCCTTTTTTTACGCGTTTTTCCTCAAGAAAATAAAATCCTTATACTCTGAAACGAAGGTCATCAGAGAAGGATAGGAGTTTATATATATTTAATAAACATACACACACACACACACACACACATAAACATACAAACACGCAGGGCGAGCAGGGAGGAATGGGCCAAAAAATATCATCATTGGCTTCTTAATCATTCTCAGCTTCGTCTTCGAAGGGTAACCGTTTCCCTGCTGGTTGTTTAGTATCTTCCTTTAATGCGTGCAGTAATTTTAATAAGTTGACTATTAAATCTTGTTGGGGCCGTGGGTATTTGAAAAGTAAAACACAAACCCTTCCCCGGTGAGTTTCCTCAAAGGTGGAGAAAATTCGAGTAAAATTAAAAATGAAGGGAAAGAAGGGGAAAAACGTTTATGGAAATGAGACCTGTAAAACATGAAAAATGTGCATGCACAAAAAAAATATATATTTTTTTATTTCTTTATTGAGTATTACAACAATCTGTCTCTTGGACATTGGTTATAGTGAGGTAGGATGATATTCACACTATATGCACAAAAAAAAAAAAAAAATAATAAATAGAAACAAAATAATAATCAAAAGTATATACAATAGATAAGAAAATAGAATAACCTAAAAAATAAGAAAATTAAAACTAAGCAAAAAAACCACATGCATTCCTATATACAATCAGGCGAGGGATCTCCAGGAGAACCTTGAGCTACTCTCTCAACCGCGTCACTGGTACTAAAGCCAGCGGAGATTGATCGAGAGCACTAAAAAAAAAAAATTCAATTGATAGAAATTGACAATAAATATAAATCCCTCTTTTTGAACGTTTACAATATTTATTATTAAATAAAAGAGATATATAGAAAAGTTAAAAACAAAATAAACAAGGGAAAAAGATTATTGAAATGCACTAAAATAAAATGAAACATAAAATACAATGTTCAGTGAAAATAAAACCAAATTAACCTTTAATAGCAAAATATCAACTTCCAAAATTAAAGAAAAAAAATAACTGTCAATAATAATAAAACTAATTTATCGTGATAAACAAATCAAATTAATATTTAAATGTTTTGGGTAACGGTGAGAATAAACAATACAAAAAAAAAAAAACCAGCCAAGTTGGAGGTTCTGCTCCCAACCCGGTTACCTGGTGGGGGGATCGATATGCATATCGATCCTGATCGATGATTCGCGATGATACATACAGCGAGGATCTTCAAAATGGCGCAGGTGAGGTGAGATGAGACGAGACGAGCCTGGAGCTTGGTGAAAATGGTGGGGGTAAATGTCCTACACAAACGAAAGAGCTCCAGACTAGCTTTCCGGCAGTACCATCGCAATATTTTGGTGTCTTAATCCCCAAGACTGGGTATTACTGCCGGGGTGGTGCATATAAATAAGCGATAAACATCGCGAATAATACCCAATATTTAAATAATATAAACTTAAATACACTTCTGGAACAATTGGTTCTCAAACATTTACAAAGAAAGAAAGAAATAAACATTTTATTTAACTAACATTAAAAAAGGGATGGTTAGAAAAAATAATAATTAAAAAATAAAGATCTGAGCGTATGCGGCGTTAACGAATCTAGAGTGTCTAAGTTTATTTTGTATGTTTCATCTTTAAACCAGCCCCATGAAAAAGTTCTGTGAAGTCAGGAGATCTTGGAAATCAACTAATTTGACAAGCGTGACCAACCCAAGGAACTTCAAACTTTCTATCCAAATGTTGCCTCACCTGGCAAGCAAAATGAGCGGGAGCTCCGTTATGCTGAAAGTGCATTATCATTCTTATATTTAAAGGAACATCCTATAATAGTCCTTGTAAATCCAATCGTAAAAAATCTAAATCCATAGAAATATCTATGTGTAAAAAACAAAAATCCAGTTCTCTAATATTCCCATATAGTACGACAGCTCAAATTTTAGAACGAATAAAATGGAGTAGATAGAAGAATCCACCATTTAATTACAAGCTCCAGACTGTCAAGATTTCCGTTTCTCCAAAATCATATCTACTTCCACTACTTCAGAACTGAAATCATCATTCTACATTGAACAAGTAGTGCTTTGAGTTGCAATATATATAACCGAAAATGTGAGTAATGACGCAATTCTCCTCTTTGAAAAACAAATTTATTTATTATATTTTAACACGTTTTGTATTTTTGAAAAAATTCTAACAACGGCACTGACTTCCTTAGCCGTTTAGTAGTTTTTCTAGGACTTGTCAATTGATTGTTCCACCATGGTACTGAGTGATGTTACTTATGAGTTTGGGTAAACTGAAATTTTGAATGTCATATTGCAAGCATTAGTACAGAACTTTTTTAAAGAGATTAACTGTCAAGTTTTCGTCATTGAGAGTAAACTGTTTTATGTTGAATTTTCAGATTCTTCAAGAATCTGAAAAGAAAAAAGAATCTGACAATTCTAGAAGAAACCACAGATCTCTCCAGTTTGTTCTCATCATTCCTCATTGAATTTAAGCCAATGGATATCCCACTCATATCACTCCTTACAAATCTCGTATCTCACCTCATCCCTCCTGTGAAAAATCCTTAAATGACTCCAATCAAACACATATATATTCTCCTTTGGAATGCGAATGGTGTTAAAAAACCAAATTGACGAACTAACATCTTTACTATTAGACAAAAACATTGACATAGCCCTAATTACAGAAACTTGACTGACCAGAACAGCATTTAAAACTTCCACAGTACATAACATACCGTACTGGCCATCCTGACGGTAGAGCACATGCCGGTACTGCTGTCATTGTACACCAATCCCTCTCTCATCACTTACTCCCATTACCTACTCAAGATTTCCTCCAGCCAACCGCTATTATAATTAAAACCTTCTCCTTTCCGCTCATCCTTGCATCAACATATTGCCCTCCTAACAAATCCATATCCAAAGTCCAGTTCAGTTCTCTCCTCAACTCCTTAGGTCATCATTTCATCCTGGGTGCAGACTTAAATGCCAAGAATCAAGAATGACGTTCAAGAAACACGAATTCTCGTGGCAGAACATTGCTGTCTGCACTCAATTCTCAACGTTACAGCTTCGTTTCACCCAACTCACCTACTTACTGTCCAACTGATCCTAATTGCAATCCTGATATCCTTGATTTTTTCATCCACAGTGGTTTAGGTTCCTTCTCGATCATTCCCTTACCCGTCTTGACGAACGTTCCTCAGATCATAGTCCATTAATACTTAAATTATCAACAGCAAGCGATCTTGACTGCTTCCTCCCCAAATTTCTCCTCGAAAATTTCTAAGAAAAATAATTTACCCCAATACCTGCTAGACCTAATCCAGATCAAACGCCGTGCCAGAATATTATGGCAACGTTCAGGACACCCGGAGCCGCCGGGAAATGGAAAGTAACCTTTTTTTTTTATTCCCCTACCTAGCCATTTCTGGCGTACGGGGTTCTGTGACAGTAGGATAGTGTGCATGGGATTTGCGCATGCCACTGCCACCAATAAACTCTTTTGTTTTATTTTAATCTCTTTATTTATACATACAAGCTTTCTGGATTTTTATTTTTGGGAACAATGTTTGGGTAACCTGTGGTGCAGCCCAGCGTGCAGTTGCACGCCTTATGATGGGACTGCACCTTCTCTTCCTTCGTACTCTTCATCGGTCTCTTCCTCTACGGCCTCCGGCGGGCGTCCTCTCCCAAGGGTGAAATGCTCCGGTCCCACCACCTCCCTCCATCTCCTAACGTACTCAGTGAAGTAGGAGTAGCAGTCCTCGCCCATCAGCCTCGGTAGGTAAATGGAAAGTAACCGACCCAGGTGGGAATCGAACCCACAACGTTCAGAACCGGGCACTGTGGGACTTACGCCCCAACGTGTTCTGCCATCCCGTCCTCCAACTCCTACCTGACTTCCCACTCTGTTAATGACAATGCCATATGAAAGATCACTAACAAAATCCTAAAATCCCATTATATTTCCCATCCCATCAGTCGATGTGATTACTCCTGGGCAGCGTCTGATGAACAAAAATGCTGAGGAATTCGCCAGACACCTCTCCAGAACAATCACCTCACATCCGGAATCTAACCCCACCTATACTACAACAGTAGAAGAATTCCTTACATCACCCATTCCACTTTCCTTACTCCCTAAAGCAGTTAATCTTCTTGAGGTCAAACATCACTTACAAAAGCCTCCTCTCCGTAAATCTCTTAGATACGACCTTTTTTTTTTTTTTTTTTTTTTTTTTTTGTTCTTCCCTACCTCGCCTTTTAGGCTATACGGGATTTTCCCGGGCCGGGGGGTGAGGGCGGGGAATTTAAAATCCCCTCCGGCACCGGGACGCGAACTCGTACTTTTTATATCATCTCAAATCTCTGTTATCAGGTTGCCAGGCAACTAGCGGTGTTGTGCACACGCTTTAGCCTATTCGGCCACCCCGCCCCTCTTAGATACGACCTCCTTACCTCCCAAATCCTTCGACAACTTCCACCAATACCTATTATATTTGTCACTTACTTATATAATACCATCATAAGAACCACCCATTTTCCTCTTTTGTGGAAACATTCCACTATTATCATGTTTCCGAAACCAGACACACTTCCCAATACCTCGGCGTCCTACAGACCAATTAGCCTAGTTCCAATCCTCTCAAAAATCTTTGAAAAGATCCTCCTGAAACGACTCATACCATTTATAGAATAATAAAATCTTCCTTCCCATCAGTTCGGATTTCGTTCACAACACTCCACAGTCCAACAAAGACTCCGAATCGTCGATCATATTTCCGTAGCGCTGGAAAGCAACCAATATTGCTCGGGTTCATTTCTGGACATAGCTCAAGCTTTTGACTCTGTCTGGCACGCCGGGCTTCTTTCCAAGCTGAAAACCCATCTGTTCCAGTCCCCGCATCAAAGTAAACGAATCAAAATGCAAACACATTATCTTCACGATCCGGCGCAGATCCTGCCCACCAGTCCACTTTAATTCCATCCAGCTTCTTTTTTCAGATACAGTCCGGTATCTTGGCTTTCTCTTAGAACAAAACTAACGTGGAACCCACATACTAGACTTAAAAGACAAGAAATTACTGATATATAAGACAATCCTGAAACCTATTTGGACCTACGGACTTGAACTTTAGGAGACAGCTAATTTTCAAACATCAAACTCATCCAATTCTTTCAGTCCAAAGTCCTCCGTACAATAGTTGATGTTTCGTTCTATGTAACCAACAAAACCCTACATTATGACCTTAATATTCCATTTGTCCTAGAACTTATCTCTGAAAATTTTTCCAAATTCCATGAGGACCTTATAAATCATCTAAGTCTCCTTCCACAATCTCTAGCTAGTTCCACTCATCCTTGCGATCCTCTTCGAAGGTTGAAGTGGCAGTAGCCCAGAGATCTTTTGTAGTATATATATCATGGAGTTCTGGCAATGGCCAGATTCTCCACTTAAGACATGAGTGAATGTGGCTAAAGCTCTCGCTCAAACTCCACTGGTTTTAGCACCTGTGACGCGGTTGAGAGACTAGCGCAGGGATCTCTTGGTGTTCTGGTTTTTCTTCTATAGGTGGAGGGAGAAGTCTGGCTTGGGGTTCGCTCCCTGATTGTATATATTTTATATAGGTATGACAGTTTTTTTTTTATGTTTTTAATTTACTTATCTTTAGTTTATTTTTTATTCTACATAGTTTTTTATTATTAATTAGTTATTATTTTACATTTGTTAATTTTATATTTTCTGTATATATGGTGCGAATGTGTTCATATATCACTATAATTTTTGAAAGATTATTATATTTCTAAATAAATAAATTTAAAAAAATTCTGGGTCTGTAGTCCCATTAGAATATCAGTAGAGCTAAAAAAATATGTACATTAGTCTGGCATGTAGTTATAATTCAAATATATACAAAAAATACTAAGGAAAATGTAAATATATATACATACACACACACACACACACACACACACACCTACACACACACACATATATATATATATATATATATATATATATATACACATACAAATACTAAGGAAAATACAAATGTTTAAAAAAAAAATACAACGAAAAATATAAATATGTACAGAAAATTCAAATATATACAACAAATACTGAGAGAGAGAGAGAGAGAAAAAATAAAGCTTGCTGGAAATGAATCACGGAATCATCATAGGAATTGTTTAAGGATAGTTATAGATTTATACGTAATTTGGGAAATATGATTGTTCCAACAAAGGTTCTGATCAAAGATCACTCCAAGAATTTTGACTGTTGGGAAGCAATGGATGGGGTGGTTATTGAGGTAAAGCAGAGGAGAGAAATGAAGGGAACTGATGAGGTGCCTGGAGCCGATGAGGATAGCTTTGGTTCACTACGACTAGGACAGAGATTTTCTGTTTGTATATGGATGATTGGAGGTCCTGGGCAATCTTTAACAAGCCAGACTGGGGGAGTATTGGAAACGAAAACCAGATTGTAGAGGATTGAGGAGACGGTTTTGCTCGAGAATATTATTCCATTGAAAGTGAACTAATATTTATAGAGGCTTGGATAAAGTGGATAAAATGAAAATGGGTCTGAAGTCGGAAGCTAGTGAAGGACTCGGAATTTTGTTCAACGGCCGGACAATGCCTTTTTCCACGCTTTAGGAAAAATGGTATAGGAAGTAAGATTGGACGACAAAGTTTGATGATTTTCACTGATATTTGGTCAGAACCATAGTCGTTGATTTTGGATTAAAGGATAGTAGAGAGTGGGTCAGTTGGAGAGATATCAAGAAAAAAAAACTTATCCGAGTCAAAGGAGATTTAAGTAATGGAAAAAAGTAAGAGGTCAGATGTGAATACAAAAGGAAGATGGTTTGGGAAAAATGAATTTACTTCGTTCGGATCTACTGGATAATGTGTGCAAGCTTTGGAGCTTATGACAGAGAGATTCCTGACAATTGTCCATTGTTAGTTAACATATCGGCTTGATTTCTTTATTTTATTAATTTTTCCTCTTCTCTTTAAAAAAAAAATATTTACTGTACTACGTCTTTAAAAAATCATATTTTCTTTAGAATAAATATTTAGGGAGTGGGATAGCTCAGCGGTAGGGTACTGAGCTTCCAATGCTGTAAGGTCCCAGGTTCGAATTCTGGCTCATGGCAAAAATTTTAATTTTTTTTTCTTGGGCCGTGGAGCGACCCTCAGTAGGTAGACTCTCCTGGGGCACACACAGTCTCTATAAATTGGGTTCCTTTAACTAAAATAATTAATTAAGGGGAAAAACCTGGTGGTTGAGGGTGCTCTTGGTGTGATCACTTCCTTATAATCGTAGATCAAGAAACAGTGCTTTCCTTAAATAGTACTGAACCCAAGACTCTTCATGGGTTGTAGTGGTACAAGTTTTTAAAAAAATTTTTTTAGAGTATTTACTGATCGCTTGTTAACTTATTTATTTAAATTAAATAATTATTATCATAAAAAATATTTATTCAGTTTTAATAATTCATTTATTTATGCAATTTTATTTATTATTTATTCAGTTGATGTGTATTTATTTTTAAGCAATTAATTTTATAGATTCTAACTTATTTTCATTTATTAACTTATTGATTAACCTTTTATTATTTAACTTAGACTATATTAATTGTATATTTTAACTTATTTTTAAGCTATCGATTTTTTAGATTGATAACAAAGTAGACAGAGATCGTCGGCAAGAGCAATATCAGTATGAGGTTGCACAATATAATTACTACAACAAAAGGTAAAAGGTTGTTCAAACTATTATGAATGCCATCACTCCTAACCGATGTCCTTTAAAAATGGTCGAAATCGAAAAACAAAACATTGTAAAGACCTCTTTGAGACAGAAAACCTCTGCAGGCTTTCGGATTACGAAAAGTGAGCCCCCATGCGAAATTTGGTGACCATTGAACTAGAAGCAGTCAAGAATGCCATTAAATCAACGGACACATCGCCAGGGCCAAATGGAGTCCTGATCCGCTCAATAAAATATTTTGATGTATCAAAACGATTGCAGAGATAATGCTGCAGGTGGCCTATGTCCCAGAACCATTTCGCCAGGGGCGCACAATATTAATATATAAGGGCGAAGGTGATATAAACAATAACTTTACCTGGAGCAGATCACCTTCCACAGGAATCACAGAGGCTTTATAAAAGGCCTTCCTACCTGTTCACGATTATCGACGATATATTAAATGATGAAAAAATGATTGTGCAGTAGTTTTCCTTGACGTTGTCTGCGCTTTTGACAATGTTGGCCACAATCATATTTTGAGCTCATTAGTAGCGAGCTGTGTGTTGCCGGATGTTAAAAATGTTATATCGGCTCTCCTCTGCACGAACATTATCAAGATTAGTAACATTGTTCACGCTACTTGCCAAATTAAAGTGCTGCACGGAGTACCCCAAGGCGATCCCTTGTAGTTTTCTCTCTTCAACCTGGCCATCGAACATCTTTCGCGACCTGTGCGACAAAGAATTTTCTAAAAAAAATTGGATATAAACTAAAAACCTTGGTTTTCACAGGTTTCGCGGACGATCAAGCCGTGTCGGCACGATAAGGGATCTGCAAAAAGAGTGATCAGCAGCGGAAGTTTGAGGAAATTGGTTTGGCTATATCAAAAAAGCGTGGGCATCGTTCTAAATAAAGAAGAGCTGGAAATAGTGATGCTCTTTGATACTCTTTGAACTTGAGAATTGAGAGTACATCCACACATTGAAGAATGGAGACATGATCAAGTATTTAGGATGTATATTCTCGGGAAAGCTAAAGTTCAACGAAAATTTGGTGACCAATTCGAATGAAAATCTTAATAAACTGGTAATCCCTTTCTTGCTTAAACCGGAGCAGAAGCTAAATATTGTCAATCAGCATCTGTTCTCGGGTCTTACTTATCCTCTCTAAACTACGTCCCTCACAAAGCTACGTCATGCTTTGTCTGCTACGTCCGCAAGATACTTGACGGTATCGACATCATGATTCGCAGGAGTGTAAAGATCATTATTGGACTCCCTGCCGAACACCTCCATCCAGGAGGTTCCGAGGATGAGCATTAATCAGCGGCCAACGGGAGCCTCCTCTACAACATTGGTCCATTGCTCAGCGACTGTCCAATGTGTCCGATGCCCTTTTCGAGTTTCAATTATTCGTCTGAGGTTAAAGAATGTGCCGAGAGGTTGATCAGGATAATCGAAATGTGAAAGCTCTACAGCAGTCGCTACGAGAAAATTCGTTTGAGGAATGGACCAATGGGTGGTAGGGTATTGGTGTTCGCCATTTTAAAGAGATCTCGAAAGCGAATAAATACATGTATGAAAATTAAGTACTTTCTGGGTCTGAATAGTCAAATGTTCTGAACCTTAATCAATCTCTGCGTGGTGTCCCAGATGTCAGCGGGCTGGTAAGAGAAGTTGGGTCCCTCTGTAGCAAATGCAACTGAGAGCCTGAAACACCAGGACAGGTGCTTGGCAAATACCCCAACTACTCCCTCCTTATAATACGCCATCACCACACAGTAGAAACTGAATTGATGAGGCTCCCTAGAGAGAAAGATTACGCCTGTTCCGAGGAAGTATATTTCATTGATACGGATGGACCCGATTGCCGGCATCGTAGACTTCCCTAAGATGGGAAAGTCGGCTATGATTTTGGGTCCTTCCGTGAGGTATGAAACCAATGACCCCCATCAGGCAGGCAAAGTGGAAAGGGGAAAAAATCAAACACATGACATATGCATCAATTTCCTTAATGAAAAGCTCAGCAAGAGTTTCGGGCCGAGAGTTCCACACGAGGCCTCTGGTTCGGAGCTCGCGGGACGGTACCGAACACAACAAGGAGCATCATGGAGGGCCTTGGTGTCGACATAAAGAACGTGGCAAGGTTTGCTGAGAATATAATTTTCGACTCCCTGAGAATCATCCATCACCATGTGCATGGTGCATCTTAACTTTCAGCTCAACATATTTATATCCATTGCACAGATATTGGAGAATATTTAGTAGTGATACTATAAAACGAATAAACAAGAAAATCTGATGAAAAATAACGGAGTTATAATATTATGATAAAAAAATCGAGTTGGGATCACTTTGCATCGAGTTGCTGGTAGATAACGTCTGAAACGGTGCCGAATGCAAAGGGTCAAGATTAAATTCTATACTATAATCATAGGTTCATTTTCAATCAATATAATACTACAAATTAGCAAAATAATGCTTCCAGCAGTAATAACTATTTAGGTTATTATTTTTTTTTTCATTTCTTTGCTTCTCATTCGTTTTAAACTTGTAAACACCTCTTCTTACTTTCATTGTTTGCAACCTTTTCTAACATTTAAAAAAATAATATTTTCAATTAGTCATATCATCAATATCATCAATCATTTTTATATAAAACATTCTATTTCCTAAATTGCTACTAATCGGAAGTTTGTATAACTTTGATATTTTAGTTCATAAAAATTATTTCATTTTATGTTTTTAACCATTAATAAATATATATTTTTGTTTTCCTTTTTTTTTATTATATTTTAATTATTTTGGTTTATAAATATAAATAAATATATATTATTAATATTTCAATTAAGTATATTAATTATTTATCAAATATTTAAAGCTTCATTTAATTTTTAATCCATTCTCCAATTTCTTTTTCAGTTCAAAATTTTTTGTAGGCACATTTGTACAGCTCAAGTATTTTTTGAATATTTCTATTATATGTTTTACAATTGCATATTTTATGTTTTTTTTTATTGCGTATTCCATTTGTGAATTTTTACAGCATAAAAATCATTTTAATGCATAAGTTATCGTTTAGTTTTTCTTAAATTTGTAATAATTGTCGTCAAAGGAAATTGATGTGTATTAATAGATTAATATGTGTATCTCATATTTAATGCTAGGTACTAAAAAATGTCGCCGGCGCACTCGCTGAGTGTGCAAAGATAGATCATAACAGGTCCAACATCTTTCAAACTGGTGGAATCGAAGCCTTGGTGGGATTGTTAAATATGACTAATAAGGATCTTCTTGAAAATGTGACCAAGGTTCTGGGAGAATGTGCAAATGAAATGGACTGTATGAAACGACTTGAAGAATTAGATGGTGTTAGATTAATTTGGTCCCTTTTGAAAAACAAATCTGCAACAGTTCAAGCAAGTGCTGCATGGGCATTGGTCCCGTGTATAAATAACTCTGAGGTTTGGCTAAAGTAAAATATATACACTTATTTTAAAATATATTAAAATTTGAATTGAAACCAATTATTATTTCATCAGGACTCCGGAGAAATGGTGAGAAGTTTAGTTGGGGGATTAGAATTGATTGTAAGTCTCTTGCGATCAGACAATCAGGAAGTGCTTGCGAGTGTCTGCTCTGCTATTGCTCATATCGCCCAAGATACAGATAATTTAGCTGTAATTACCGATCATGGTGTAGTCCCTCTTCTTTGTAATCTAGTTGAAACTGTAAGTACATATTATAATTCTATAAAATAGCATAGATTTTGATTTTGAATGAATGAATAAATGATTTAATTCATGCAACCACAAATTATAATGAAAGCAATCTTATAAAACATCATGGCAGTAAGCCGTCTGTCAAGTAACTCAATTGCTCACCTCTACTCGTTTCATTTAGTGAATTTTAATTATTGCTATTAGGATATTTATTGATGTTAGAATATATCATTTTGCTACATCTTAGTAACTGAAATACTCATTTAGAAATTTTCTGTATCATACTTTACTGTTTTATATAAGTAAATGCTTCTCAGATATTGTTTTCAAATATACTTGATTTAATAATTATTATTTTAATTTGAGGATAGTTCAATAATAATCAGATAAGAACAGTTTTCATAGAAACGTATTAGAAGAGAAGTTGGTTGGGATGTTCAGTCAAAAATAAAAAGTAATTAATTTTTGACTGAACATCCCAACCAACTTCTCTTCTAATACATTTACTATGAAAACTTTTCTCATGTGATTATTATTGAATGGCCGGTAGCCTAGCGAGTCTTATCTTACTTGCTTTAACAGTCAAGGGCTCTATTTACCAACATCGTAAGTAAATAGAATCGTCTGCAGGGCCTCAGTTCGAACCCATAGACACATAACTTTTTTTTTTCCAGTGCCTGTTTTATTTTTATCTTTAATTGTTTATGTTATAGGTATGAATGAGTTTTTATGTTTTTGATTTACTTATCTTTAGGTTATTTTATTTTTTATTGTACATAGTTTTTAGTTATTATTATACTTTTGTTAGTTTTATGTTTTCTACATATTTGCTGTGAATGTGTTCATATCTCACTATAATTATTGTCCACGAGACAGATTATTATAATACTAAATAAATAAATAAAAAAAATTGTTTGTGTATTTATAGAAATGTTTACTTGTATTTCTGTTTGTAGATATGTGTATAGATATTTTTTTAAAGAATTTATTTCATAATTTCTCAACTCTCTAATTGTTTTATTTAGGTATATATGTATTTTTTTTTTCTTCATATCATAAGCATGGACAAAATGAATGTGGATAAGAACTCTTCATGCGGGGATTCAGAAGGTGAGATGCGCTTTTCTGAAGTTAGCGAAACTGACTTGCAATATTTAAAAAGACTTACACTTCAAAAACACCACCGAAACTCTGTCCCTGGGTCGGAGGGCAACTCATACTTACTTACTACGTAGCTCTATAGCCCGGGATGGGTCTTTGCTTCCCTGACAGCATTACACCAGTTCTCTCTGCACAACGTTCTTCTCCTCCAGTTCCTTATACAGAGATTCTCTAGGTTCCCTTCCACATCCAGAATCCAACGTCTACGAGTTCGTCCTCTCCTTCTGATACCATACATCTTTCCAAGCAGAATTGTTTTTTGCATTCACGATTCATTCATCCGAGCTATGTGACCCAACCATTCAATTCTCCTTACTCGCATGAATCTGACAATGTCACAATACAGGTCCATAAATTTTACTGAGAATTTTCAACGCATTTATTGTGGGGGGCGCAAAGGGTCCAATTTCCTGCAGAATATGTCAACAGCGATGAGCGGAAGAGTTTTATGTTTGCTTAGTAAGTCCGGCTACCTGCCATAAACCGTCTGTCTATTCACTTCTGCTGATATTTTTGCAATTAAGCTCCACACCAAGATAGGAGCAGGATTTAACGTTTTCGCAAGAAAAACCACCAATGCACAGTTCTTCTCTAGCTCTTGGATCACTGCTTGAACTTACAAACATGTACATGGTTTTGCTTTCATTGACTTCTTAATCAAGCAATTCACCTTCCGCCTTCAACAGCTTGAACAAATCGATAAGAGATTGCTTATTCCTTGCCACTAAGGAAATATCATCAGCCTATGCACATATTGAGTGGATAAACGCAGTATATCCCCATTGGAATTTAGCTTCCCTATCACACTATGTTGTGCAAGGTTAAATAGTATATCAGATAGCGCATCTTCTTGCCTAACTCCAGCAGTGAGTGGAAAGCCACGACTAAGGTTACCATTAATACACACTTTAGCATTAATGTCATCCATGGATATTTGAATCAAGTATTAGTATGTATATTTGTATTAGCTTATTTGGAATGTTGGAATCTCCTAAGGCACGTATCATGTTATTTTTGTTCACACAATCAAAAGCATGGCGGTAGTCTATAAAAAACATGTGAAGGTCAGTTTTATACTCCCAGCAATTTTCTATTAACTGTCGCATTAGAAAGATCTGATCCGTCGTTCCCCTGCCCCTGCGGAACCCGCATTGGTATTCCTGCAGAACATTCTCGGCAAACTCTTTTAATCTCCGAACCAATATGTTGGAGAATATTTTGTACGCTACACCTAAGAGCGATATTCCTCTGTAATTTTCGCAGAGCAGCCTGTCTCTCTTTTTATGTATAGGGTAGATTAAGCTTGTTTTTCAATCTGCTGGTATGCATTCTTTGTCCCATATATCCTCAATTAGCAAGTATAATTGCTTATTTTTTAAAGAATTCCACAATCAGAAGTTCTTCCCCAGGAGCTTTGTCATTTTTTAATTTGTTAATTGATTCTACCACTTCCCCGATTGTGAGCGGTTCTAAATCAGACAAGTTTTCAAGCTCCGCTGTATCGTCAGGGTCTGTGCTTCTTACGTTCAGCATATCATTGGAATGTTTCCCCCATGTGTCAATTATCATGTTTTTTCTAATATTTTTCTATTTTTATCTTTACATGCATCGACCTTAGGTTGGAATCCACGGTTCATATATCTGACGTCCCCATAGAATTTCCTCGTTCCATTACTCACCACATTGATTATTCATCCTCAGTTCTTCTATTTGTTTAGTCTTCTTTGCTAAGAATTCCCTTTTTTTCCTTTCTAATAATCTTTTTGGCCTTTCTTCTGCTTTCATTATAGGCAGTATAACTTTGTCTGGTGGAGCGTTGGAGTACAGCTAATCTATACCCATTTCTAGCATTTAGGGCTGCTACACACTCCTCATCGAACCATTAGTTGCATTTTTTCCACTTCTCTTGCTAGGTCCACTGTAAAACATTGAGAAATCCTTCTTGTCCACTTTGCCTGATCCATTCTATCTTGTCTCCTGTAAGGCTAATGTCTATGTTAAACTTAATTATCTGCTCAGCCACTTACCGGGCTGTAGCATCATCCTCACATTCCAGGTTGCAATAGTCAAATCCAAATTCCTGTTCCGGGTCCGTTTCCCTTTAATCCATTCCGGCTTATTGTTGTCTAGGTGTTTCCGAAAATTTATTTTTTTTATAAGGGGGGGGGGGGCGTTAACCTCACGCACTACCCCTAATCTGGAGGACCAGGGCTTTGAATTCTGGGCTCCGTCCCCTAGCATGATGGCTTTCACTACAGCGTACTGAGTCTATGGTACCCTTGATTTCTTTAGAGGTTTCTCTCCTAGTCTTTAAGATTCCCTCCCAAACCGTTCAAGGCATTACGAGGCAGTGTATATTTACTGGCGGCACTTATTCGCCATGTCACAACATCGTCAACGGGTTTTGTGGTATTTATTACACATGACCCAGCCACAGGTCATATGTCCACCCTTGCTGATGTTGCCTCTCCTTGTCCGGGACTGCTTATTTGGGGATTACCTTATTCGCAGCTAACCTGTATATCTACAAGTTGTTCCGCTATCCGCTGCCTGCGTACCCGCCCAGTACCGGGAGTAAGCCCTTGGCAACTCACCTTGTTACGGTCTTTAATTTGGAAAAATTGTTTCCGCAACAACCTTGCCGGATGCTCAGTGGAGACGGTAGGATTCGCAGAAAAAAAAAGAAGGAAATTAATGAAGATTCAATTACATGTTGCAAACTAAGAGGTGCCACGCTATTTAATTGGTTGAATTAGGAAAATAGCAAAAACCTGGATAATAGAGAGGAAAAAAAATAAAAATAAAATTAATTAAAAAAAAAGATTTGGACCCGGAGTGAGCTACGAACTCGGAACCTGTGGGTTTAGAAACGTATGTAAATTAACCTCAAAAACCTATGAAACCTTCTTACTCGGTTAATATCATTTTCCCTAATCCCTCGAATAGGGTTTTACAATTCCTTATTAAACTTTAAAAACAATATAATATATATATAAAACGTGAAAACAAACTAAAGATAAAGAAGAAAATAAAACTGGCTATTGTTAATACTAATGATGAATTTACTTATTTCTATTGATTTATATAACTGTTAAAGGAAATGAAAATTATGAACAAGAAATTAGATTTATAAGAAAACAAAGAAAATACAATTGACCTTAAACACTGTTTATTTATATTTATTTGGGGATTCCCTTATTCATAGTTAACCTGTATATCTGCAGGCTGTAAATAAAGGAGTTTTGGAATGAGGCAGATCTATGAGAAGGCATGTAAAGGTTAGAAGTTCGAGAATTTGTGGAAAGAGAATGGACTGAGGATTTGAATTGGAGAAGGTTGTAGGCGTAAGAAGGACGATGATTGTTTATGATGTGGTAGAGGAACGTAACTAGGAAATCGGAAGGAGGGGAAAAACCACCTTAACTCAGTGTAGTGGTGAGAGACATGGGAGTAACTCGGGGCCCCAATTACAAATCTTACGCAGCTGTTCATTAGTCTTTTCAGTCTATCGTGGCGCTCCAGTGAGTGGCCATCATACACCACACAGCGGTAGTCAAAGTGGGGAAAATGAGAGAGGAAACTAGGAGTCTACGCTTAAGATGGAGGAAGCGATGGAATAGTTTGAGGGTCCGCAAGTTCAATTGAAGCGAATCTATTTCGTACTTCTTAGGACGCGGCAAACGTAGGCAAACTTCCACAGATACAGGTGAATACTCTGACTGAAAACTTATATATATTGCTATTTCTTGTCGAACGCAACTTCACTTTAACCTCAGCTGGAGATCAAGATATAGACACCACAAAAGGACTAACCCAGGAACGAAGGTGCAACTTTTTCATTAGATCAGTGTTAATTAAATTAATTTATGAACCTGCATCTATCACCATTTTGCATGAATACCACTGACAAAATCTTGATCAAATTCTACCTTAGGCAGTACCTAGAAATACCTGTGAGTTGGTGGTAGCATGGCACGAAACTGTACGAGATTTGTTGGTTACTTGAGGCTGAGAGGGCTCAGTATTTCCAGCCTTATGTAATATGGTATGGTGACTCTTTTTTTCAGAAACTTGGCAACAGCTTTTACTTTGGCAATTCGCCAAGCGATGAGATCCCGCACAAGAAAAACACAAATCGGACTTCCTTACCAGGTCATAGCGACCATTAACATCGGCATCTTGAAACTGAGGGAAATTTATAATGTTATAGCTCCATTTACTGACTGGCCATTCTAACTTACATTTCTGCTTATCCGGTCTATTGTGATTGCTGGTTAAAATGTTTTTCGTTGATAATTCTTCAAAGTTAGGAACTGTCTCTTCCTTGGGACTATTCTCAAACATTCTTCTGTATTCGAGTTTATAACGTTCAATCCGAGATGCAGCAAAACAAAATCAGCGAGGTTATTGAGTTTAAGTTTTTTTTAAACATTATAATTATCTTCAAATGTATCCAGAAAGCTTCTAATTTTTGAAGAATTATCAACAGAAAATGGTTTAAACCGTATAATTTTATTAACATGGTAGGCCGCAATGATCATTTTATTTCTATAACGCTTTACTAATGCATCATAGGCCAAACTGTAATTTCCTGCGTTAAACTCAATTGAAGAAATGACCTGTGAAGCAGGATGAACTAAAAGTGACTTGAGATATGAAGATTTTAATATATCTGTATAATTTTAATGATGAATTAAGGCATCAAATAATGATTTAAATGAAGGAAATTGTTCGTACTGTCCAGAAAATTGAAGAATTTGTAAATCTGGCAATTTAGGATACGCTACTGGTTCAGACATGGGCTGAGAAGCGGGAACTATGTGCTCAGCCTTAAATAATTTCTCATGCTCAACTTTTATTTCATAATAAAGTTCCTCTGCTGCTAAAGAAGGTGCGTTTGTTTCTCCTCTAACGATTCATTTAGCACCGAAATCTTGTTCAACACTGCCTCAAATTCCTCCAGTTGTGTCTTACTTTCTGAAGACCCAGCCATACAAATTTCCTTTCCCGCAGGAGACCCTTAGTCATATCGAAAACGGTTTGCATTCTTAGCAACAGACTTTCCTTTCTATCATTTATAGCTTTAAGTCTCTCAGTACCGACTAAGAGTACTGAGGGACTTAAAGCTATAAATGCCATCTTCAAAGTTGTAGAAAAATTCAAAATTAAATTTTAATTGCTGAAGGTAAAACCCAATTTAATTTTATAATAAATGCAAAGTTCAGCAAAGCAGGCCAAGATAAGCAATGATCAACTTAAGGATTAACGTAAGTATTAACGAAGTCACTTAATTTCAGGAAGTCAGTATGTTCTGTCCTGTGTTTTTTCCACAAGTCTGTGTTCTTTCCAGAAAATTTCTGGAAACTTATCTGGAAACAGCTTGACTTACCCAAATACGCTACGAAATCATTAAATATATTAGATAAGATTTATTTAAAAAAAAAAAAAGGATTAATAAGCGAAATACGACTATTAGCCCGGAATGAAACGATAGTTGCCGGTGAATGAAACGATGAAACGGCAGTTGTGCCGGGAGCTTGTAAGGATTAAATTTATCTTTTAGATCTTCTGATCTGCCCCACCACTCACTGCAACGAGAGAATAGGAAACCATCTTTGCACAAACATCAATATTATTCAAAAATTACCCTTCCGCAAAGCCCCTGGCCACGAGCTAATCACATCCCTATATATTCCTTATTTACATATATAACACCGTAATCCGTTCCACATATTTTCCTGACCCTTGGAATCTATCTATTGTCAAAATGATACAAAAACCCAAAAAGTCACCAGAATATATATCATCTTGCCGTCCTATCTCCCTATTACCCATTATCGGCAAAATTCTGGAAAAGCTCATTTAAAACGCCTTTATCCCATCGTATATTATAACCATATAATCCCTGATCAGCAATTTGGATTCCGTACATCCCATTCCACTATCCAGCAATGCCATCGATTGCTAGACGTCGTCTGTTCTGCAATGGAGCGCGGAATGTATTGCAATGGAGTCTTTCTCAATATTGAACAGGCGTTTGATCGAGTCTGGTAGCCGGAATTGTTTTCCAAACTCCGTAAATTCCTCCCTCGTACATACTTTCTCATCATCAGTTCTTACCTTGCTGATAGACACTTCAAAGTAAATCACAATAATGCCTATTCATTCCTCTTTTCTCAATCTACTGGTGTACCTCAAGGTAATATCCTTAGTACGATCCTTTACACAGTTTATGCAGCTGATATCCCAACCAATCCTAACACTGTCATCATCACTTATGCCGATGACACATGTATCCTATCAGTTAATAACGATCAATTGCATCCCAAATCATTCAATCACACATCACAAACCTTAAATAATGGTGTAAAAACTGGAGGATTAAAATAAATTCCAATAAATCCCATCAAATCACCTTTACACTTCGTCGTAAACCTATGATTTTCTGTCCTACAGTCTCCTTTAATAACACTCCACTTATCCCTGTTGAACAAATCCAGTACCTAGGACTCCATCGTGCAGGTCCAGGTCAAAGTCTCACTTGGAATCCCTATACAAGAGTGAAACGACACTGCTCGAACACTTACTAGACAAACGTTCTAAACTTTCAATTAATCACAGAAGACTCATATACATGATTATAATAAGACCTATTTGGACTTACTGAATTGAGTTATGGAGCTCCACTAAACCATCGAATTCCTCTCGTATCCAATCCTTACAATCCAAAATCTCCATTGCCTCTTACTTTGTCACAAATAAAATAATCCATAAAGATCTTAATATTTCATATGTTTCCGATTTAGTCCAATCCAGATATTTATCCTTCCATAATAAACTTCATAACCATCCGAATTCTCTCGTTTCTAACCTTGCTTCCTCTTCAATTCCGGATAATGCTCCGAGGCGTCTGAAAAGAAGATGATCTCGTGATCTCCTTATGTAGACATATCATTAGAGTGCTGCCAGTGGGTTGTTTCTCAATAAGCGTTTTCATGTGTTTATATTCCTGTGTACACATTTACTTGGTGTATTTATATTACAGTTGTATGTGTGTAATACAGTTGTAAATATTATGAATAAAAAAAACTCTTATACAACTCTTAATATATTATGTTGCAGAGCGATGATGTCTTGCGAGAACATTTAGCACTAGCCATTGCAAACTGTTGTAAATGGAACAAAAACTGTTATGAGTTTGGTCGGCTTGGGGCTGTTGCTCCTCTGGTATCGTATTTGGGAAGTAAACAAAAGAGTGTTCACAGATCTACCGCTCTCGCTCTTCACAGAATATCTGACGACCCATTTAACTGCGTCACATTACATCAAAGTGGAGTTGTACCGGTAATTATATTATATGTTTATTTAATTTAACTTCCTTGGTTTATTCTACATTGTAAATTTACCATAATCAATGTGCATTATCAAAATTCTACGCATTACTTCCTGAACATTTACAAATATACAACTTTTCTCTCTAAAATAAGATATTTCTCAAAGCCTGAAAAATTCATCGCCCGGCCGTTAAACAAATAACTTCTGGATAGAAACTCATCTCCATTTCATCCACCATCCTTACCTAAACATTTTCAGTTCGCTCTATATAAAGTGACTTTTTAAAAAGTGCAACATTACAGTTTTTTAGTGAAAAAACAGCGCAACAGGTTTACTGACAGTTAACCTCGAAGAGGGAAATAAATAAACTGAGTAATCACTTATTTATCACCGTTACAGTGAATACTATAAACAGCCTAAGGATAGAGATAGTCAAGAGACAGCCATAATCCCATTAGTGACTGGCCAGCTGGATACCTGGTAACGTACTTGTATAGACATTTTTTTTCCACATTTATTTTTTTTCTAACATAAATATCATATGATATGCGATATTTTCACATGGTGATGTTGAGTAAAGCTAAACCACCTCAGAAAAGATCGAAAAGTCTTCCAGTAAAGCAGAAAACCAAACGCTCAAAAAGCTCACCACCAACCACACCTAAAAACTCACCACCTGCTCTAGATATGGCAAGCCAACCGGGGACATCAAGGCAAACCGAAGAAGAATCGCCATTTTTTACTCTAAATCGTTATCAAGTGTTATCGAACACTGACACAGAAGATATGGAAGCAACAACTATGCCCATAGAAGTCAAGCCCCAACCAATATTTATCAGAAAACTAAAAAGTTTGAACTCCTGTGCCAACAGTTAAATATAATCGTTGATACAGAGAATTACACACGTCTAAGCCGCGCAAATGACATAAAATTATTGGCTGACACCACAGAAACCTACAGAAAAATCGTGAAATATTTGTCTGACACCATTGCAAAGTTTCATACATATCAATTACGCCAGGAGCGAGCGCTCAGGGTCGTAATCAGGCGACTTCATCTCTCAACACCACTAGATATTACAAAAGAAGAATTGATGGATAAGGGATTCCAGATTCGTCAAATTGTAAATGTATCTAAAAAGGAAAGGGAACATACCGGAGTAAAGGACATCTACGAAGTTAACCGTCTGTACTATACCAGTATAATTGTCGAAAAACCCAGCAGTATGTGCACTATGCCACCAAGGACACCCGGCTAACACATAAAGAATGTGGAACATACAAAACCTTAAAATCAAGGATTAAAACAGCTCTTGGGCCGGAAGAGACTACTAGACCTCCTAGACCATTCAGAGACCCTTCTAGAATAGTGAATGAACATTTGTTCTACTCCCAAATGCTAAGAGATATAGAACAGAGTCTACAACCTCAGGCCTTGCCGTTAACACAACCCCATGATTTTCAACCTCAACCATCTACCCGAAACCCCGGTCAACACTAAATCTCCTAAATACCTCCTCCTAACTATGTCAATGACCTCACCACCCACCTCAAATCATTCCTTTGATTCCTGAGTTCAGATCCCTCATCACCCTACTTACAAACGTTGTGTCAAATCTGATCCCACCCTCAAAAAATCCTTAAATGACCACAAAAAAATCCCTTTCCATTATCCTCTGGAATGCGAATGGTGTTCGAAACCACACTAATGAACTAAATATTTTACTAAATCACAAAAACATTGACATAGCCCTAATAACTGAAACCCGATTGACCAGTAAACGACTATTAATTATACCTAACTACCAAATCTATCGAACTGAACACCCAGATG